CAGAGATGGAAAGTCTCACAAGCACAAGAAGCACAACAATCATACACAGACACACATGCACAAACACACACACATACAGACACGTGCACGCGCTGAACACGGTGTGCGGTGAGCTTGTGAGTGTGAATATGTGTGCGTGTGTGTGTGTACGCGCGCAGGAGTCTGTAGGCACGGACCTTGAGTCCCGTGATGCCCTGCTCGGAGTATCCCTCTCGTCGACCGCCATTCATCTCCATCTGCGTGCGCCCGCCTGATGGTGGCCGGGATCGTGTGTGTGTGTGTGTGTGTGTATGTGTGTGTGTGTGTGTGTGTGTGTGTGTGTGTGTGTGTGCAAAAGAGCAGGGATGACGATGACGTGTGATGGCGGGATGATGAGTGATGGTGGTGAGGGGGCAACATGGGCGGGCAACAAGCGTTCCCTTGCACGCACGTGGACAACTGTGGAGAAACCCATTCAACCGACCACCACCAACACACACACATACACATACACACAGACACACACACACACACACACACACACACACACACTCACCTGATCCTGAGAGCTGTGAGACGTCTGGGATAACGATGAGAGTGCCGGTGAACGCAACTTTATCGCCGGCCTTTGCCTTCTCAACTGCGTCGTGGCGAAGAATAATGTCCATGCTGCACACGTGGCGGTGGTGGCGGTGCGGTGTGTATAGAGGTGAGGCACCACATAAGTCATCGTGTGTGTTGACAGTGACGAAGAATGAGAGAGACAGGTGACACAAGTGCACCTGCATTTGTACACACACGACAGACACAGACAGACACACACACACACATACATACATACATCCATCCATACACACACACACACACACACACACACACACACACACACACACACACACACACCTGCGGGGCATGCTGCCGGACGGGATCTCGTCAGCGCTCTCTTGGATGCGGACCTTCTGAAAGTCAACAAACTGCACCAACCAACATCACACGTGCGCAAGGAGGGGGGGAGGGCAAGGCAATGGTTCATTCATATAAGCACCAGCAGTGACGATGCAAGCACACGCATGGATAAATACACACATACACGCATACACACGTGCACATCCACAGTCACACACACATGCACACACATGCACACGCATGCACACATACACACCTGTGATTGGTCGATGAGAAGCTTAAACTGGCGGGCGTTGTTGCAGGCAGAGTTGCGACACTTGGTCGGCTGGCGTGACAGTCAAGCACGTGGAAGGGTGAGCAACAAGACGTGCATGGGGCGGCGCTTCAGCAGGATTGATGGCAAACAATTTAGCGCAGCCAAAGAGGTGCACTCCCACACGCATACAGCGCTCACTCACACTCACACACTCACACACGCACACACACACACACACACACACACACACACACACACACACACACACACACACACACACACACACACACACACGCAAACACACACACACACACACACCTCCGTGTAGCGAAAGTCCTGTGCCACGTGCTCAATAACGTGGCCGCAATCCTCGCATCTGAATGTTCCAAACAGCAGCTCGGGGTGCACTGCTGACGTGCGCACAACCGTGCCTGTCATGGTGGGGAGGTGGTGTTGGCCGTGTGGGTGAAGGTGAGACTTGAAGGACACATCGAGAGCGCTCTCACATGAACAGCACTAAAACGCGTGTTCATGTGCATGTGTGTGTGCTGCCTGTTTTATTCTGTGTGTATGTATGTGTGTATGTGTGTATGTGTGTATGTGTGTATGTGTGTATGTGTGTATGTGTGTATGTGTATATGTGTATGTGTGTATGTGTGTATGTGTGTATGTGTGTGTGTGCGTGCTCATGTCAAGGTGGTGCGCCCTACAGGCTTACCGTAGATGCATGTGAGGCGGCCAACCTTGTCTGTCTTGAGGGCACGAATGCTGAAATGGAAAGGAAACAGAAGAGAACGACACAAAAGTTGGAAGGCAGCAGCGTCAGCACCAGTCAGTTGTAACGATTGGAAAGCAGCAGCACACCTGATCCGTTCTCAAATACAGAGACGCAACATTCACAAGTTCAGTGCAACCACGCCCGCTTTCATCACTGATCACTCATCACTGATGGCGGTACAGCAGTGCATCAGTGTAGCAGCGCATCAGTGCAGCTCACTTGTCGACGATGGGAAGGCTGTGGAAGGCCACGTAGAACTGGCGCGGGTGGTCCTTATCATCGCGCTCAAGCTGTGGGTACTTGCTGATGATGAAGTCACGGACAGCACCCCGCAGGAACGTCTCATATCTGGACAGCGTTCGTAGTGATGCGTGGGTGAATAAATATGGAGATGGCAGCATTGTGGGGGTGAGCAGAGTGTATTTGTTCCCCGATTTGTAGTGGCCAACACAGAACAGCGGCATCGCGCGCACCACGCACGCACAACACAAAACACACACACACGCACACCACGCACGCACAACACAACACAACACACACACCTGTAGTAGTGGGTGAGGATGGTGTTGGCGAGCTCCTCATTGAAGTTCACGACGTGGTTGTAGTTGACGAACATGGTGGTCTCGTCCCGCTCCTTCATTTCATCAATCTCGTTGACGTAGGGCTTGTCGTCCTCGCCAGTGGGATATCTGTTGAGGGTGGGAACGTGTGCATTTGTGCGTGTGTGAGCGAGCGCTGGAGTTTGGGGATTCGCTTTCAGCCCATCACATGCTCGGCTGCAAGCACGCACATGCTCAGCTGTCAGCACGAACACAAATACACACGTACACACACACGCACACACACACACACACTCACACACACACACACACACACACACACACACACACACACACGTACACACACACTCTCTCTCACAGACACAACGCTCACTCTCTGAGGAAGGCGCCAAAGTCCCGCTTCACGTTCTGGCCCTCATCATCCTGCACCATGGGCACGCTGTGGCCCGGCAGTGCTGTGGCATCCATGATCCCGTGTTCACGTATGTGTGTGCGTTTGAATGCTGTGATGTCGTGAGCTGTGTCGCGAGTCGCTGTGTGCTGCTGCTGCTGCTGTGAGCTGCTGTGTGCGGGAAGAAGAGAAGGGAGAGAGGATCTCACACGCCAAGCACAAGCACGACGATGGACGTATGTGTGCAGTGGTTCCGGTGTTGTGCGGGAAGTCGCACAAAACACAGCTGTTCGAGCGGTTTTTTGGCGGGCAATGACGATTGGTTTAAAATTTCAAATAATTTTCCTTGTCATGTTTTCAAACACTAATCTGCAGTGGCGAGCTGTGGGCGTTTCTGTGTTTACCACTTGTTGAAAGTTGGCAAAATCTCTCCGCCGTTGTTTGGCAGTTGTGAACGCTGGCTGCGACGTTGAAGCGGATGCACTGAGAAGCAGACACAGCGGCCACACCAACAGACAACAGCAGGCAACGATGGAAGGGGTTGATCCCTTGTTCTATGCCCACTTCCTGTTCAGAAGGCGACGATACACAGAGGCCGCGGCAAGTGTCCTTTATTCTTATTTTTTATTTTTTGTGTCTGTGTTTGTTTGCGCTGGTGTTGATGCACGTCGCTGAGGTTTGGATGGCGGCTTGCTGCCGCTGCGCCGACTCATCCGCCATTTTCCTAACTCTGACATGTATGTCAATGTGTGTGCGTGCGTGTGCGTGTGCGTGTGCGTGTAGGACGTGTGCTCTGAATTGCTGGCCAAGAATCCGTATGACAAGGTGAGCATCGTGGGATGGGTCTGCTACGATGTGCCTGCTTTCACCTGCTGTGCAGACCCATCCACACATGCACACATAATGCACGCACGCACACACACACACACACACATATGCATTCACACGCACGCACACGCACACACACACATATGCATTCACATGCACGCACCCACACACACACCCACCCACACACACACACGCAATCCAACCTTCACTTACGCTGTCATTTGCCTCGACGGACACCAGGCGGCGTGGTATTTGAAGACGCGCTGCTTGACAGAAGATGTGCGCATCGACGAGACAGAACTGGAGGAGGAGGGCCTTGCTGAGGTTATGCTGGACGAGAACGCCGTGGCCAGCGTTCCACGTCAGTTTCAAAGGCTGACGCTTGCAGCCTTTGCGCTTGTCCATGACGTGTGTGTCTGCTCGGGACTACAGCTGTTTTGTTGAATAAGGCGATCACATGGTACCGCTTGCTCACCACACGACCAACGCGCGATTAAATGCACACAGGGCCTGGAACATCGTTTTCACGGCCGCTCACAGACTCTGGCTCCAGCCGCGGCATCAGGTATGATGTGAACAAGCCGCTGTGTTTGCACGTGTATGTGTGTGTGTGTGTGTGTGGATGAACGAATTCGTCCAACTCACCCCAATTCATCCGTCAATCCATGCAACACACACACACACACACACACACACACACACACACACACACACACACACACACACACACACACACCTTGTGCGCGTGTATTGTGCAGGCCCATGTCCAAGTCTGGGCGGCCTGTGAGCGGGTTTGCGCGGCCAGGGACCCAGGGCGCCCGCCCATCGACGATGGAGGCCGCCGTGCGAACCGCGCGCAGTGCAACCTCCCGTCCCGTCACAAGCGCTTCCGGCCGCTACGTTCGCCTCGGAACCGTGCGTGACCATACATCCGTGTGCGCGTGTACATGCGCGCGCGCGTGTGTGTGCACCTCCGTATTTGCATGTGTCTGTGTGTGTTTTTGCATGCTTCCCTACATGATTTTTCATCGCGTGCGTATGTGACGCAACGAGCATGTGACGTGGGTTGTGTATGCGTGTCGCTGACACGCTCCTCTTCTGATTGTCTGCTGATGCATCATGCGTGCGTGTGTGCAGGCGAGCATGCTGAGCGGCGATGACGGTACATTCATTGACGTGAGCAAGCTTGATCTCCGCAAGTATGCGTTCCGGCGGGGGTTGGCGCGTGCGCTGGTGCTGTACATTCTGCACGTGCTCAACGACACGGGCAAAGCGATGGAACTCGCCGCCTACGCAACAGAGGCAGCGCGCTTCCAGGACTGGTGGTGGAAAGGTCAGTTTTGGGTGCGGTGTTGAGAGAGAGAGAGAGTGAGAGAGAGAGTGTGTGTGTGTGAGTGTGTGTGCGTGTGTGTTATTATGTTGCCATGAGTTTGTGTTGATGATGTGTTGAGGGGGTTTGCGAGCGCATGCATGAATGTGATTGTGCTTACGTGTACGCATATCTATGTGCCGCTCCCCTGAACCGATTGCCACCTTCGCCATCTCACCACCACTGACACCACCACCAACACCACCACCAACACCACCACTGACACCACCACCAGCGATCCTCGGGTTCTGCTACCACCGCCTGAATCTGTTTCGTGATGCGGAGAAGCAGCTCAAGTCAAGCTTCAAGCAGACGCCAAGCATCCTTGCCTGCATGCTTCTGGCCAAGGTCTACATCCGCATGGACCAGCCGCAGAACGCAATTCAGTGCTACCGCGAGGGCCTTGAGAAGTTTCCCGACGAGCCAGTCTTGCTTGCAGGCATCGCTCGCGTGTTTGAGGGCATTGGCGACCTGACGAAATCCGTGGAGGAGTACAAGAAACTTCTCAAGGTGGACAGGTCCGTGACAACGCCTTAATCTTGCGCGCGCTTGTATGTATGTATGTATGTATGTATGTATGTATGTATGTATGTATGTATGTATGTGTGTATGTATGTATGTATGTATGTATGTATGTATGTATGTATGTATGTATGTATGTATGTATGTATGTATGTATGTATGTGTGTGTGTGTGTATGAATGTATGTATGTATGTATGTATGTATGTATGTATGTATGTATGTATGTATGTATGTATGTATGTATGTATGTATGTATGTGTGTGTATGAATGTATGTATGTATGTTTGTGTGTGTGTGCTTGTTTGTGTGTATGCATGTGTGTGTATGCATGTGTGTGTGTGTGTGGCGATGCGATTCTTCATGCGCAGCTGCCTTCGTTGTCCCTCCCTCGCCCACCATCAATATCATCATCACCGCCAGCACGAATGTGGAGGCGATTGCGTCGCTGGCGGCAGACAAGTTTTACGGCGACCAGCCCGAGATTGCCCTCGTCTTCTACAGGTCACATCCCCTCACATATGAACCTTGTGCGTGCTTGCGTGTGTGTGCGTGTGTGCGCGTTGCAATTGCTTGTGGTTCTCAATCACGTGTGTATATGTGCCACTCACGCCCTCTTGCTTTGTTGAAAACCTGCGCGATTGCCCATGCTGGCTGCATGTTGCAGGCGCTTGCTGCAGATGGGCGTGGAGAGTGCAGAGCTCTTCAACAACTTGGGCCTCTCATGCTTCCAAGCACAGCAGGTACAGTACGCACACCTGCATGTGTGTGCATGTGTGTTTGTGTGTGCATGTGTGCACGCGTGTGTTTGTGACTTGATAGAGGGATCGCTTCTTCCAAAAGTTCATTGACTCATCCACTCTCCACGCGTCCCCCACCACCGCCACCATGACCACCGCCGCCGCCATCACGCTGACCACCGCCAATGACCACCACCGCCATCACGCTGACCACCGACACCATGACCACCAGTACGACATGGCGCTCGGATGCTTTGAGCGGGCGCTGTCGATGGCTGACGACGAGGCCATGTCCGACATCTGGTACAACATCGCCTTTGTTGGCATGTCGCTCGGAAACGTCAAGCTTGCTCGCGAGGTCAGCCCACACGCCCTCGTGTAGGGCAGGGGGGTGGGAGAGGGAGGTGGTTTTGCATGCTGTGCGTGTGCGTGAGTGTCTGTGTCTGTGCCTGTGTCTGTGTCTGTGTCTGTGTCTGTGTCTGTGTCTGTGTTTGTATCTGTACGTGTGCATGTCAGGCAAGTCTGTCCTGTTTTGTCTCATATCCACTTGTGTCGCAAGTACTGACGTTACACACGCTTGCGTGCAGGCGCTTGTGCTCGCAGTGACGTGCGACAGCACCAATGGAGAGGCATACAACAACCTCGGCGTCATTGGTATTTTTTTCTTTACACGCTCCTCTCTAGCTAATGCTTGTTCTCTCTCACACACACTCACACTCACACACACACACACACTCACTCACAAGCACACACGCACACACGCACACAAAGAAACGCGCGCGCACACACACAAGCACACACGCACACAAAGACACTCTCACACAAACGCCCACACACACACACTCTCTCTCTCTCACACACAAACACCCACACACTCTCTTTCCGTCCCTCCTCCCCTCTCTCTGTGCCACAGAGCAACGCAAGGGCAACAGCGGCGATGCGCGGGGCCACTACCAGACGGCAATCAAGGTGTCGCCACACATCCACGAGCCCCACTACAACTATGCCCTCATGTCTCTCGAGGCAGGCGACCTCCAGCAAGCATACAAGCAGGTATCGTGCGCACCGCCGCGCTGTGTTTGGACTGTGCGCGTTGTGTAATGTGTATTGTGTAATGTGTTGCGTGGTGCGTGCGTTGCGTGGTGCGTGTGATGTGTGGTTTTGCTGTGTGTT